AATATCGAGCAACCACAAGAGGAGGAGTTGGCTTACATCTTTGCTCTTCTTAATCTCCTTGATAGTCTGCTTATCAAAGTCTCCAGAGTACCCCTTATAGGTCGTCTCATTCCAGACCAGTTTGACACCATCTTCAGTACGACGGAAAACACTCCCGTTATGGATACTATCAACCCAATCGATGTGCTGCTCGACTTTCTTCTCGTCAAGTTTCTGTTTCAGGGTAACGATGTAGGCGCCCTCGATAATATCATCATCGTCTGTTACGGTTGGAGCAGCGATGATCGCAGGCAGAAGAGCAAGGAGGAGCTTAAGGTAATGCATCTTGAACGAGAAGAGTTTGGCGAGGATGATAATTTCCAACAGAACGAGAAGGGCCTCTTCTTATAGGATTTAGATATCACATTGTTCTTCTGTCTTCGGAGTTGGCGATCTGAATTTGTGAGTCTTCAGGACCCTGTACACCATTCTGCAACTCAATGTCTTTGATTCAACTTGCACATTAATCTCTATCAACCGACAAGAAAGAAAAATATCTTATAACGGATATTTTAATGAAGATCCGTCTAGAATCTGAAACTCAATCTTCTAGATGTGACATCAGAATCTCTTTTTGCTACTAGGGAAAACGTCTTGTGATGAAGAACTTCGAGAAAGAGTGGCAATTGTGACAGCCACGCTTATGAACTCGTACATAATCCTCCCTCAGCTGCAAATCATAGTCTTGAAACCGAGGACATATTGCTATTTGGGCTTGTTCTAGATATGTGCTAAGGGTATGGTGACGGCGATGGGTATATGGACAAATTGAGGTATAACGCTCAGCAGGATCAGCCTGTTGCAGTCCCTTGGTCATCACCTAAACAGAGTCTATTGCCCGTTCTGCTGCAGCTTTAGAGGGAGATATTTGACTAATAGATGCTCACTCAAGTGTATCGGACTATACAGAAGACCCTCGACATCACTCACGGAACAACCGAAGCTGAGGAAAATCAGGGTTGAGACACACTGACAACGTGACCCATCTTTCCAGATGGCCATATGATTCATTTCTATAAACCCCTATTCAAATCTATATTCCCACGCTACATTATCGCCGCTCAGCCGAGACACTCCATCTGCGCATCTCCGTCCAACTCATCACGCCCCTGCCACCGCCCTCGCCATGACCTTCAACCCCGTATCAAACTCCGCCTTCACACCCTTGACCTCCATAACATCCTCCGGCAACAACCCCCTCCACCAAGCATACCAATCCGCCACCTCGCCCAAGTCAACCTCGTCAAGCGACAGCCACTCCGCCAGCGTCTTGTGCCACTTGGGGAACAAATGCTGTATCAGCACCTCGGCAATAACCCTTCGGCCGAGCGTGGGCGTCCATTTCAAAATACCCCTGAGCACAGGAAGGCTCGGTTCCTGATCTGCTGGCTCGACTGAGAAGTTTCGCTGGAGATATTTGCCCATTGACGGGAGGACGTGGGACATTACGAGCGGTCGCCATTGATCGCCGAGAATGCGTTCCCATTTTGTAAGACCAGGTAAGCGACCCTCCTTGAAATCCCATACGTCGATGAGTTGTCTGAACTTTCTCTTGACGTCTGCTACAAGACCTGTTCCCTTGGGGTCAAGATGGTATGAGGGGAGGTATTGAAGCCATGGGAATAGCCATATGTGCGGTAGACTGTGGTGCTGACGTCTGTTCTTAGGATTCCAGTCTGATACTGCTGTTTCCAACTTCCGAGCGATATTGTCGATGAATTGTGCGCGGACAAAGGATGGTAGGAGGTCATCCCAGGCCTCCATGACGCTGAGCATCTTCTCTGGCTCAAAGACATCCCATGACCGGACAGCCGCGAGTGCTTTGGGTAGCCAATTTTTGTACATCATGCTTTCGTATGGTGTTGTGGATTTGTGATGACGGCGGTAGATGTCGTCTGTATTGACTGCTGCCGAGGAATCCCACTTGCCGACAGATTTGCCATTCGTTGTCGATGGCATGAGTAGTGATTTTAGTTCTTTGAGATCTGATGCGAAGCGTGTTGGCTCTTGTAGGAGATCCCAGTCTCCTTCTCGAAGGAAAGGATGGATAGCCGCAACCGCGATGTCGGCAATCTCTGATGTCGTGGCCTTGAGTTCAAGGGCCTTCTTCAGGCACCCGATAACTTGATCCCAGTCGGCTGTTGCAAGCTCTCCACTGACCAACTCAGAAAAGACCTGCAATCTCTCGAAATCCGATCGTAAATCGTCCATCTCCTGCTCCTTTTCCTTGAGCTCAAGGTCTATCCACGTTTTCCTCTCTTGCAAGCTCTTCCATTCATCAGAAAAGGCTAACAAGTCTGCTTGCGCTCTCTTGACAAGCTTCCTCGCCTCTATCACTTCCGTTGATTCGGGTGTGGCAGTTCCTGTCGTCGGTGTCATGATACCACTCGTTGATGTGAGCATCTTGCTTCCAGGCCCTGTCATATCGAGAATAGGGGCAAATGCATCTGGGATATGAAGACCTGGAGCCGCAGCCTTGAGCTCCTCTGCCGTAAGGTATTTCGGTTTCTGTCGTCTTGGTGTACTTGTTGCACTGTCAAACGCAGCTCCTAGGGACTTCTTTTTTGCCTTCTTTCGTTTCTTCTTTTCCTCCTCGTCCGAATCGACAACCTCTTCTCCTCGCATTTTGGCTTGTCGCTTCTCTTCTTTCCGTTCCTGTTCAGATTTCTCCTTCACAGCACCAAGACCAATACCCTGCGGTCGGAGGTTCGCTTCGATAATGACGTTTCGACCCTGGCCTTCCTTACCAAGACCTTGTCCCTCCTGGTAGCCCATCTTTGCCATCATTCGGGCACCGAAAGACTTCGGGTTTGTCTTGCCCTTTGCGCCAAAGGCACTCGGTTGTGGCTTATTACGTGGTGTCGGAGAGCCCTCGTCGCGCGGGTTCTTGAGGACAGGATCGTTTGCTGATGATGGGACAAAGCCCATACCGAGAGGGTTCTTGCCATCGAATCGGGTTCGAAATGACGGTCGAGCTGTTGCTTCGGCGCTTACGCTTCGACTTGAATTTTGGGTATCGTTCTGTGCAAAACCGCGTGCAACACCCCCGAAGCCTAGTCCTACTCCAGTGTTGCCCTCCTCCTCCTCCTCCTCCTCATCGTTGTCGTCTTGGTCCATTGCGCTTCTTAGCATCGGCCGATTATCGTCGGAATCTTCATCGCCATCTTCTTTATCGCTTCCTGCGCCTGTTGACACAAAGTTCATGCCTTTATTTCTCAAGGTGGTCCTCTTCCATTTTCTAGCAGGTCCGTCGTCTTCGCTATCGGAGCCAAAGATGCCCAGCGCAGCCTTCTCTTTGTTATTACCACCGACACGGCGCCTCTTTCGGGGGTTAAAATCACCGAAGTCGTTGTCGGCATCAAGACCTGGCGCGAGGTGCTCGTCTTCAGATTCGGATGCTGATGAAGAATATTCGGCCGCGGCGGCTTTGGTGAGGCGTGAGGGGTCAAAGGAAGGGCGCGATGAACCGTTCATCTTAAGAGTGTTCTTGATAACTCTCTATGTGTCGTTTGTGAGTTCCGCGTGCGAAAGCGCACTTGAAGCATGGAGAAGCAATACTTGCGACGCGACAGGCAGACGTAGAAATAAACTGGAAGCTTGGGCATGACGATGTTGGAGAGCCTTATCTTATCGGCACGTGATGACTTGGAACTTGGTCACCTGAGAGACCAATCATAAGAAAGCCATTCATTTTTCCTTCGTAGGTTACACACTTCAAGTTATCCAATGATTCTGTCTTGTATTTCTTTAATCTGATAGGATGGCTAAGTTAATCCCATCATGCTTTGGAGTCTGGCAGGTCTGGTTCCCGGACCAGGATGGAGAGACGGCCCGTGCTGGACTCTTATCACCACGTGATTTCATCCGATAGCCTTCGCGGTTACTTTTACTAGATGCTCTCTTGCAGCAATTCGGTAGAAATACGAAGAGAAGAAATCACAGACCTATAAGAGATTCTCTTTGAGATCCCACCATAAATCGATTTCCCATCCCGAAGTGACTTATGTTAAACTCTGGTCACAAAGATCTTGAAGTGAGCATATGCTCAACAAGCATCTGTAAACACTGGACTTTCAACGTTAAAAGCAACATCAGAAAACAGGCTTCATCAATCACTTTTCTCCACGGACCAGTCATGACGGGACCTTCTAGTGCATTTTTGAGGTTTGCCATGTCCAGAATTACCCCTCAATCAATATGTCTTGGATTCCTTGTCCAAGCTTGTTGAAGAATGTGGATAGCACACCAACGCATATCAATCTTTAGTTTATAGCATGCATGACACGTCAATAGCTTACTAGAAGGTTCGTTACTACGCAATGAAAAGCAAGGCGAACTTCAGTAGGGCAGATTGAATGCTTTGATCAAATGTAAGGAACATTTTATGGCGTTGGAGCCTTGACCCTGCAGTTGAGCTGAAGGCTTGCAGCTACAGTTGGAATGTAAGAGCAGTCCCTTGCGCGTGACATCTGTTCTTCTCAATCTGAAGGGAGTATTGTTCAAAAAGACAGATTTGTGGCTGATGATTCGATGGTAGAAGTAATCTGGAAGTAATTCCTGATTTTTAAAAAGTGTTTTGTCCCGTAATTAATTCTGAACCGTTTCTTGGCTGTAGGTGTTGATCTTCATGCGTTTTGACGTTGGTGTGGCTGCAGTCTGTTTCTGGGGCAATGGCGCAGATTGGGCGTCAATAAAGAGAACCGGGCCATTTGAATGACAACACACCACAAGAGTCATAAGCCAGGAACGTCTATTTTTGAAGGGTCTGTGGCACAGCATCTGACCCATTTAACTCTCAATATAACTCTTGTCTTTCCCAATTCGACAAAACATCTGCACTATCAACCTCACCTCACAGACAAACAAACTGTAAGTAAGGTCCCTGAAAATCAGACTCCATGTTCTGTTCCGTCCCGCCGTCATTTTAGGCACTTCAATTTCAACCCCTGTAAATCAGGTGACGGGCGCTTGTTGACTTTCAGTCTTTCCCCTCCAAAAAATGAACAAGACCATTTGATCGTCCCTCACCCAAACCAAACAACAAGGATCTGGGAACAAATAGAGTCCCTTGCCTGTTCTTACCTCACCCTGCCCTGCTTCCTTATTTTGGCAGTTGCTTCTGTGTTGCGCATGCTTGTTCCTCTACAGATTTGGATTCACTAACCTTGCGCCGGGCTACCCTCTATAGAAAGAACGACGCACTTCTGCTTTGTTTCCTCTTGAACATCCATCCATTGCCCTTTCACTCACGCGACAAAGCCTCTTCCCTCTATTTGATACCCGCAGTTCAATCCGCTGCTTTAAAACTCTGGTACGTTCAACTTACATTCACTCGAATATCATCAAACCTGTTCTTGCTCCTGTAGAGCGTCTCGCGCGCTTATGAGAGCCCAACCAGAGCTCTATATATGATGGATCCTCCTCGCCGCTCTCGTTTATTTCATAAGCTAATTACCCGCTTAGTCCGCTTTATAAAGCACAACAAGAAGAAACAACATCATCCACTCGAAAGATACCCTGTCTTGAGTTCTCCCCAATACACATTTTCCCCCTCAAACACTACCATGGCTGAAGAAGAAGATTTTAGCTCCATACCCTTGGCGGACCGCTTCGCTCACAAGGTCTGGAAGGTTAGAAAAGGAGCATATGAAGAAGCAACCAAGCAGTTCGAAAAGTCTCCCGACGAGTCCGATCCTTGTTTCCGACCATTTTTGAACGAACCCGGCCTGTGGAACAAAGCAGTTCTCGATTCAAACGTCGCCGCTCAACAAGAAGCCGTCACCGCCCTATGCGCATTCCTCAAATATGGTGGACGAGACTGCTGTCTACGGACGCGAAATCAGACCATTACACCCATGGTCGAGAAGTGTCTATCCTCCACACGTGCCGCGATCAAGCAAAACTCCATCGAAGCTTTGCTTTTGTACATTGAGCTCGATGTCGCTGGGCCGGTCATTGAGGACATGCTGCCCGGTCTTTCCAACAAGGTTCCCAAGAACGTTGCTGCGACACTGAACGCCCTTACACAAATCTTCCATAACTATGGTTGCAAGGTCGTCGATCCCAAACCTGTGCTCAAAGCGCTCCCAAAAGCCTTCGGTGCCGCCGACAAGAACGTCCGTGCTGAGGCAACGAACTTGACAGTCGAACTTTACAGATGGCTCAGGGAGGCTATGAAGCCGATGTTCTGGGGCGAGCTCAAGCCTACCCAACAGACCGATTTGGAAGCGCAGTTTGAGAAGATCAAGGCCGAAGGCCCTCCCAAGCAAGAACGACTCCTCCGATCGCAACAAGAAGCTATTGACGCTGCTCCCGAAGGTGGCGAGGAGGGTGAAGAAGGCGAAGGAGAGGGCGACGATGTTGGCGAGGTCGACGCGTTCGATTTGGCTGAACCTCAGGATGTCAGCAAGAAGATCCCGCCCAACTTCAGCGATCTACTTGCCTCCTCGAAGTGGAAGGACCGAAAAGAAGCAGTCGACGGTCTTCACCAGGCACTTAATGTTCCTCGCATCAAGGAAACCGATTTCAATGAAGTTTGTCGCGGATTGGCCAAATGCATGAAGGACGCCAATGTTGCCGTCGTCACTCAGGCTGCTCTCTGTATCGAGGCTCTCGCAAAGGGCTTGCGAAAGGCCTTTGCCAAGTATCGCAGCATTGTGATGCAGCCCATCATGGACCGACTCAAGGAGAAGAAGGCTTCTGTCGCGGATGCTCTCGGCGCCGCTCTCGACGCTGCTTTCGCCTCCACCGACTTGACTGAGTGTCTTGAGGACATCACCACATACCTTGGAAACAAGAACCCTCAGGTCAAGGAGGGTACCATGAAGTTCTTAATTCGCTGCCTACGAAACACCCGAGATGTGCCCAGCAAGCCCGAGCAAGCTACCATCTGCGAGGCTGGAAAGAAGCTCTTGTCCGAGTCAAGCCCTGCTCTTCGAGATGGCGGTGCTGAGATTCTTGGTACCATCATGAAGATTATTGGTGAGCGTGCTATGACACCTAACCTGGAAGGTCTGGACGACATCCGCAAGAACAAGGTCAAGGAATTCTTCGAGGCCGCCGAAGTCAAAGCAAAGGAGAAGCCCAAGCCCAAGGCGGCACCTGCACCTAAAGCGGCGCCTCCCAAGAAAGTCATGGGTGGAAAGAAGCCTATGGCCAAGAAGGCTGCTCCTGCTGCCGCTGCGGCTCCAGTAATGCCAGATGATACTCCTCCCACTCCTCAGCCAAGCTCACGACCTGCCGCTGGCAAGCTCGGAAAGCCTACACTTGGAGGATTGAAGGGTCCCCAGAAGAGGACCCTTGGAGGTCCGGCACCTGGCTCTCCTCGCCGAGCGCCCGCTGCCCCTGTCATGCCCGATGACGAGCCTGCACCACCCGCTCAACCTCGCCTTGGTCTCTCTCGTGGACTTGCCGGACGCTCTCTCGCCAAACCTACCGCACCCTCACCCCCAGTCGCACCAGCCTCGCCGCCTCCATCTAGCGGTCTCACTGCTGTGGAGCGCGCCGAGATTGAGGAGCTTAGAGCAGCCAACGACCGGCTAACCCGTCAAGTTGATGAGATGCGACAGGAACGTAGCAAGTTCATGTCAGAGATTCAAGAGCTCAAGAACCAGAATGCTGGCCTGATCGAAGACCACACCCGAGACGTCTTGAGCATCAAGGCCAAGGAGACACAATTGGTCCGCGCGAGAAGCGATGCAGAGGCTACGGAACAGACCAACGACCGCCTGCGACGCGAACTAGAAAGACTTAAGAAGGCTTTGAGCCGTGCCGAAGGATTGGGTAGCTCTGGAAATGGTATGAACAGCCCTGGCCTTGCTTCTCCCACACACGATGATGTCTACCGAGACCATGGACCTCCCTCGGTGAGCCGCCATAGAATGAGCATCACCAGCAGTATGTCTGAGGAGAAGGAAAATGGCGAGCAGATGATTCCTCGCAACAAGCTTAGCCCTGAGATGCGATATGCTGGTAGCGCAAGCTCATCCGGACGTGGATCTCCCGCACGAGGCTTCAGAAGTGCTGCATCATATCGCGACGACGACCATGCACCAGCACCTTCTCAACGTCCTATGTCGTCGCTACCTCAGCCTACTGGAGGCAATGGTGCCGAGAGTTGGAGAAGGGCAGCAGAGGTGACAAGTCAGCTGAAGGCCCGAATTGAACAGATGAAGGTACGTTAACCCAACACTACTAGTATCCGATGCGACGGCAACTGACCATCTATAGGCCAAGCAAGGGCTCGCTCGACCTTAGGAGCATTGTTAGAAACTCGGCGTGCAATGATTGTTTGTTCTAGTACTTTAACGATGATGATTTTTGGGAGGTTTATGGCGGAAAAGCTGGATGGGTACTCCTGGGACTGACACAGACGGTCCTGGTCAGGTTGCATTTTCACGGCGTTGGAAGTTGTGCCACCATCTGTCTTGAGTGTTTCGCTTCTCTTCGAGGGTCTGATAGAATTACACATGGGCCAAGGCTGTGTTTGGGATTTTGCGAAGCAATACCCGCGGTGGGTCAGAGATACCTAGTTTTTTTTAATGCATCGGATTGGTGATTTGCCTTCATGTTACAGTATTCATTTCAAGGGTGATGTCAATCTTTGTGAACTCAAACATAGTCTTGAATTTAAACGTAGCATCCTGTGACATCAATTCATTAACTGTCATGTAAGAAATAAGTACAGCAAATCCCGGAACTCCGTTATGATCGCTAAGCGCTTCAGCTCAACTTGGTCATTGCGACAGCAACTCATTCCTTCTTGTCCTTCTTACCCTCAGATTTATCATCCTTCTTCTCGTCGGACTTTTCCTCCTTCTTGTCTTCAGACTGGTCCTTCTTATCGTCCTTCTTGTCGGACTCTTGCTTGGAGTCGTCCTTTGACTCCTTGTCGGATGATTCCTCTGACTTCTTGTCCTTGTCGTCCTTGCTGTCTTCGTCAGACTGAGACTTTTTATCCTCGTCCTTGAACTCATCCTTCGAGTCAGACTCCTCCTTGTCATCCTTGGACTCACCCTCGTCCTTAGACTCAGAGTCCTTGCCATCATCCTTCTTCTCAGTATCCTTGTCCTTGTTCTCGCTCTTCTCCTCGTCCTTCTTGTTACCCTCCTCAGAAGCCTTGTTCTTGTCGTCACCCTTCTTAGCCTTATCATCGCCCTTGCCATCCTTCTTCTTACCCTTCTTCTCCTCTTCCTTCTTCCTCTTCTCGGCCTCCTTTGCCTTCTTTTCTTCTTCCTCCTTTTGCTTTCGTCGACGTGCCTTCTCCTCAGCCTCTAGCTTCTCCCAGTTGGTATCGTGATCAGCAATACCAGACCTGGCGAAGTTGTCGCTCAGACCCTTGGCAGTGATGGCATCGCCTTGCTTGATCTTGGCGCGGCCGATGAGAGAGATGAAGATAGCGAAGCCGACCATGGCTGTGAGAAGGAAGCGGTATGAGCCGTACCATCGAGGTGCCCATCCCTTTGTCGCAGCGCGGGAATCGGCGAAGTAAAGAGCGACGAAGGCCATGAACTGAGAAGTAAGAGCGTACTCTACGGGGAGCATAAGAGTTGGCCATGCGACAATGGAAGCTGCAAGGCCCATGCCGTAGCGGAAACGGGTTCGTTCACGAAGGGGTTGCTTCTCGGCGTACTCGAGACCCTGATCGCTGGTGGTTAGCTAAATGTGTAGCTATTGTGAAGCTGTAGACTTACCCAGTGAATAGCACCCAGGAAAGAGATGATGACAGCACCATATCCAAGCTGAAGAGGCTCAAGGGCGCTTAGCAGGTATTTGGCTGTCTCATGATCGATCATGATAGCATCGTAGAAGGAGTTGCCCGTAGGAATGGGCTTGTTCAAGTCCCAAGCGAGGAAGACGGTCGAAAGCGAAGTTCCCAGGTAGGGCAGTGTACCAGCCAAACCGAGGATGCTCGACTCGCGCGGGACGTCTGTAAAGGTAAAGGTATCTTTGACAACGTGCTTCAAACTGTTAGAATCCTTCGAATCGAGTGTTACGCTAGATTGAAGCTTACAATATCGTGCTTGAGCTCACTAGTCATGTCTTGATCAGCGCTCTTGGAGCCCTGAGCTGTAGACGCAGCATTGGCGACCGAACTCTTAGATGAAACAACACTTGGGTTGGACTGGAGGAGCTCTTGTCCCCGCTTGCGCTCAGCTTCAATGTCAATGGGCTGCTTGGGAGGAGGAGGATTCTCTTCGTCGGATTTGCTAGAGTATGCGGCGCGCTGCTGACGCAAAAGAGGCGCAATTGATGCGCGGGGGAGGAATTGCGAAGCTCGATTGGAAGAAGCTCTTGAGGCAACGTCCCAAAGGGAGCGAGAAGAGGTACGGAACATTGTCAATGTTATAGATGGAGTTCAATTAGAGGCACGCGAGTAACTGCTGCAACCAGACCAAGCTGATTTCATCTGATAACCGAAAAGGTATGAAAGGAGAAAAGAGTAAAAAAGGTCTGGAATGGAAGGCCAGCTGAAACTGAAATACCATGAGGATCGGTGTTTCAATGGAGACACCACAATCATGGAAGCTTCCTGTTATTCCAAGATCTTGGAGCTATCTACGTAATGGCTTGCTTGTTACAGTTTCCTTAGTAATTGTACCTGGAACTGGAAATTGGGGAAATATAATTTCTGCTTGTCACACGTAGAGACAGTCCCGTCCGGCCCGGAAAAGGAGGCCAAGCCGTTCATGGATGTGCCATTTTGTTCTGTTTTTGTTGTCACGCCTACATCATCGCGATGGACGTGAAGCTATGTCGTGACGTCATGAGAGTTGTATTTTGGTGGAATAGCTTCAGACTTCGTTCGGGTGGGCAGCCATTGATATAAACACCAACCAGAAATAGCCCTGAAAGTGAGAATAGCTACCGAAATCGGCAATGATGAGAGGAGGGAATGCACAGATAGCTAAACCTTCTATCGTATTGTTGATATCGATAAAATAGTCATGATATTTAACAGATCAACTCTGCCAAGTCCTTGTTTAGAAGATCTTCCAAGATGCCCCACCAAAAGTGCCCTGTGCTTTGATGTGCTCCAGGGCTAGGTCCAGCTGTTAGCAGTTTCTACAATCTACGGTAGGTACCCGACCGCGTTGGAACGTAAAAAAATAAAGCTACTGTCAATCCAAAGCCAATTCGGTACTTGGTCCTCCACCAGAATCAATGCCAAATAACAAGTACCTCTGACAGCATCGTCATACACGCCACACCATTCCCCAAAACCGCTGCTTCCTACTTTTGCTCCGGGCCCAGCTGCGTCACTCACTCACAGCCCGACACGAAACCCACCTTTTCCATATCTCCTCCATCACCGAGTTTCGTCCATCTTTGTTACTCGAGAGGCACAATCGGTAATACCCTCATCCACCGAATCCCGCTTTTCCCCTCTATTTCACCCAACACTTTGAGGGGAAATACTTACGATACTGCCTCGAGTGTAACCCCGCTCCACAAAGTCCTATACCTCACGTTCACGCCCGAGGATAGCAATCGCTTCACCGATCGAGCCTCGCATGGCACCCGTGTCAACAACCACACGCCGACGGATGAGTCCTCGATAAAACAAATAACACAAACCCTACCTTCCCTTCCCCGGCCCGGGTTACGGCCACAACACCTCCAGAATGCTCGAAGGCCTCGTCGCTGGCCTGCTTAACCGCTTCCTGGGCATGTATGTCAAGAACTTCGACCCAGCCCAGTTGAAAGTCGGTATCTGGTCCGGCGATGTTAAGCTCCGCAACCTCGAGCTGCGCCGCGAGGCACTCGACCAGCTCAAGCTTCCCATAAATGTTATGGAGGGTCACCTCGGCGAGCTGACACTCGTCATTCCCTGGTCAAACCTGCGCGGTGCACCCGTCAAGGTCTTTATTCAGGATGTCTTTCTTCTTGCCAGCCCGAAGGAAGAGGCTGAGTACGATCAGGACGAGGAAGATCGCAGGAAACAGCGCCTCAAGATGGAGAAGCTTGACAGTGCCGAGTTGCTCAAGGAGAGGAACCAGGAAGGTTTAAGTCAGGAGGAGCAGAAGAAGAGCCAGAGCTTTACACAAAGTCTGGTAACAAAGATCGTCGACAACTTGCAAGTCACGGTCAAGAACATACACATTCGATACGAAGACTCCATCTCAGCGCCAGGGCACCCATTCGCCCTCGGTGTTACTCTCGAGGAGTTCAGTGCCGTCAGTACCGATGGTCAGTGGAAGCCTACTTTCATCCAAGACTCTAACACAGTCACCCACAAGCTGGCTACCTTGGGTGCTCTGGCTGTGTACTGGAATACTGATTCAACCCTTCTCGGGACTGGGCGAGAAGCTTCAACCTCCTCAGAGGAATTAATGCCACATGATGAAATGGTAGCGAAGTTTAGAGAAATGATTGGAGAAGACGCTCAAGAGAATGCAAACCATCAGTTCATCCTCAGGCCCGTCAATGGTCAAGCAAAGATCGAGCTCGACAAGTCGGGCGATATCAAGGTACCCAAGTTCAAGGCCAACTTACTGTTCGAGGAAATTGGTCTTGTTCTCGATGACGACCAATACCGAGACGCTTTAATGATGGTCGATTTGTTCCATTACTTCATTCGACACCAAGAATACAAACGCCTACAACCAAAGGGCGTCCGACCCAAAGAAGATCCCCGTGCTTGGCTCGAGTTTGCGGGTAACGCTGTGTTATCAAAGATTCACGAACGCAACCGCAAATGGTCATGGGACTACTTCCGCGAGCGACGAGACGATCGAAAACGATATATCGAGCTGTTCAAGAAGAGAAAACAAGGCCATCAGATGTCTGCCGAGGAAACTGATGAGATCAATGCTCTCGAATGGAAGCTCACATACGAGGATCTGCGATTCTGGCGATCCTTGGCCCGCAACCAGCTTAAGAAAGAGAATGCAGAAGCTCTCAAGAACCAACCACAACAACAGCAACAGCAACAACAAGGCTGGATCTCGTGGGTGTGGGGTTCCAAGCCTCAAGAAAAGATTGAACAGAATGAAGAGAACACACAGATGACTGAGGAGCAACGACAAGAGCTCTACGAGGCCATCGATTGGGACGAGAAGAACGCCATCGCTGATGAGGTCGATGTTCCTCGTGAGGCTATCAAGATGTGCATCGAGACGTCCCTGAGCACAGGTAGCTTCACACTCAAGAAGAGCCCTCACGATCACGCAGCGGACCTCCTCAGTCTGCACTTTGATGTCTTCAAAGCCAAGATGCTACAGAGAAAGGATTCAGTTCTTGCTAATGTTAGCCTTGGTGGCCTTCGTGTCAACGATGGCACAACACCAGACTCAGTCTACCCTGAGATTGTCCGAGTCAAGGATGCACCGACTGAAAAGCAGCGTAAGCGACTGTCGTTGGCCGAACTCGAGCAGCCAGAGGAAGAACCCTTCTTCCAATTCGAGTTTGAGCAGAACCCCATTGAGCGCGAGGGTGATATTGCCGTTGTCGGAAAGATGAAGCCTCTTGAGGTTATCTGGAACCCCAATTTTGTTGTTGGGATCGCCGACTTCTTCAGACCGCCTGAGCGTCACATGGAGTCTATTACCGCCCTCATGGAGAGTGCTGGTGCGACCGTTGAAAGTATTCGTGAGCAGACTCGAGCGGGTCTC